ATCGTAATATCTGATTTTTGAAGATTAATTTACTTACTCGATAAAAAATATAAAAAATATATATCGATCATATTTTAAATGGTCAAATCGTAAGTAATCAAGTCAGGAACTATAAAAGGTGATGAACTTTTCGTTAACCATTCAATTATTTTTCACGATTTTTCAGTAACATACAATATTCTTATGATATCGTAATATCTGATTTTTGAAGATTAATTTACTTACTCGATAAAAATATAAAAAATATATATTTTTTAATTTTAAAATTAAAAAATTATGTAAAATTTTTAACTCGTTGTGATCACCATTTTAACTAAAAAAAATTAACTATTTCATTTAAAAACATAATAAACTCATTAAAATCTATATTAACTTAATCATCGTAATTTTATTAATGAACCGGTGAGTTAAATATTCGATGAGAGTAAATTAATTACTATGCAAGTGTGAATGAATGTATAAAGTGATTTAGTTTATTAGTTAAAATGTATTTCAACAATTACATAGCTTGTAAGAGAAAAAAAAAAAGAATAACCAGCCTACCCAAATTGATGGCATGCATGTTTAACCATCACTGGGAATCATACAGGTATTCATGGAGGTTGACGCCCCTCCAGCTAAGCTAAGAATGAAGAGGGTGAAATTTGAACATTGAAAATGAAGACGCATAATTCTTGCCTGGTTGACAGAGATGTGAATGCGTGCGTCATCAACTATATATATATATATATACACACACACACACACACAGATATATATATATATATATATATAGTTAAAAATGTGAAGCATATCAAGTGAGTGCAGCCAAATTAATTAAATTCAGCAATTAATAGGTCCTACTGGCTGCCACATTCTGTGGATTGTGGAATCCTAGGTACTACCATTACAACACTCCGCCCGCTCCTCACTCATCTCCTCCTCTCAAATTCCCTGCACTGCACAACCATAATATATATATATATATATATATTTATAGTCAAACTTAAATATAATATTTGTGCAAAATTCAAACCAGCCTTTTAGGTGAAAACTAAAGGAACATATAAAGAAAGAAAAAGGGTTGGGTAAAACATGTAGGTCAATCTTATATATATATATATTATTATTATCCATATTTGTTTTAACATATATATATATATATATATTGTTCGCTATCAAGGTATAGGGAGGATAGAGGGAGATGAAAATAAATCTTCCTTTCTGTCGACTGATACGTCGCACTCATCACTCCCACAACCTCTATATGCAGCTTTCCTTGAATCTCTCCCTTTCTCCTTTTTTCTATAATACCAACTATATATATATATATACCTATCTATATACATATATATATATATATATATAACTCTTTCTTATTCACTTTCACTCCCAGTAATAATATCATATTTAGTATTTGCAACAAACAAACTCCCAGAAGAAGATGCGTATTAATTAATAATTATGACAGCACCCCATGATCCTCCTCATTTATCAACTCCAATCTACCCCAACCACACCCATTCATTTCCTACTTCAAAAATTTTCAACTAACCTCTCAGCAGCTGGCTATACTCACACACAGACACCTTATAAGTCACGAAGCTGAGCTTGAATTTGTTCCCGTATGTATATATATATATATATATATATACTGGTTTAAATGTCAGAGGTAAGGAGGTAGGTATGATTGAATCATTGGGCACTGAATATTTGAGACTAATATTATACATCTCATAAATTTAGTATCTAATTTAAACCCACTTTTAATAATTAATAAAAGACAGTTCAAAACTATTAATTCATCTCCCTGTGTATATAAATATTATTTAAGGTATATTTTTATTGAAATTTCGTGTTATAATTGAGTTGTATGTATATATTTAAAAGATAATTATGATCACAGTAATTACTACCAACAAGAAATCAATTAACTGTAATTATTACAGGTGAAGCTTTAACATCACTTCATGTTCGTAGTCATAGCTTTTTTGGTGGATAACATGGTGGAAATTACCTAATTACATACATATACATGTATAACACCTTAAAACTTAGTAAGTTCTGATTGGTAATCTCCTCCTCCTTCTCTCTCTCTCTCTCTCTCTATATATATATATATATATATGTTTATAGATAGATATATGCACGATGATACATTATGAGCGTACGCAGTCAATCAAGAATTGTCCTGGAAAATTGGATTTGTTGATGTTCTAAATTTGAAAATAAGAACATGAGAATTTAAATATATATATATATGTATATGTATGGTGCATGCACGTTATTATTACCAGAGCTGTCACATGGACTAACATATAACAAGGGCTCGGTACCAGGCATGTTGTGTTGTAAAACATGGGCGGAAAGCAACTGGCAATTAGAAGGCCAAAAGGATTTCAGCAAATTTCACCATTTCCTTTGCTGCTTTCTAATTAAAATTATTATAAATAATCAATCAAATCTTAACTAATTAATTAAAACATTTTTAACCATAAATTAACAAAACCAAATCAGCATTAAACCCCAGATTTATTTCCATTTTCAGTCAACATTACAAGGAATCTGAGCCTCATAATCAGGGCAAGAACATCCATGTCTGCAGCCTCTACAATGTATATCTGCGTGTGTTATACAAATATTTGATTTGGGTTTTTGACTAAACAAGTTATATGTAAAGTAATAAAGTAGTTGGTGATGAACTTTTCGTTAATATACATATATGTATGTATAAGCAGAGAGCTCGATGCATGGAAAAAGGGTTTTTCATGATTGTAAGGTAAGGTATTGGGGAATCGAAGTGGAACTGTACCTGTATATATATATATACATATATACACACACAAATGTATGTCCCTCAAGTGCTTCCGAACTAAAGACGTAGGCGCAGTTATTATTATTATTGCATTCCCCCACTTTATAAAGTTTACTTACTGCACATCTCTCCTGTTCACTCCCTCACAATCACTCTCCTTTTTCCCCTTCTCCTCTCCCCCCCCTCTCTCTCTCTCTCTCTCTCTCTCTCTCTCTCCTTTTCCCCCTTCTCCTCTCTCTCTCTCTCTCTCCCCTCTTTTCGAAAAAAATATTTCCACTTTGTTTATTTTTAAGAATATAAATTAAAATTATATCATGTGCATGTACTTTGATTTCAATTTCTACTGTGTTCTCACGTAAAAAATTAGATGATTGTTTAAATCCATATAACTAGCTCAAGTGATATATCTCCAATAAATTAATTTAAATTGTGATATTTCAATTATACATCGAAAAGATACGTGATTGTATAGGATTTAAGTCATATATTATCAGTAAATTGAGTAAAATGGGATTAGCTTAATTTCGTCAAAACCCAAGAATATTACTTTTACTATCGTGCTTCAAATAAATTGACTCTCTCACCTTTACTTTCACTTCCCGTATCACTTTAAAAAAAAAAAAAAAAAAAAGATAAAAACTTTTGTCCTGTAAAACTCGGTTTTGACTTTTGAAATCTTATTATTATTACTTAAGGAGAAGAGTCGTACGATATATATGTATGTATAAATATATGTTGTGGTAAAATTGCAGGGCAAATGGCAGACATGAGATGACACATTTATACACGTAAACCACTTGGAAAGTAAAAGTGTGATGTGCGATACAGGTGCCGATTGGAGAGGGACCACTCTCCACCACTATTTTCCATACCATATACATACATACATCCATACATACATGCATGCATACATAAAGACATACATATAATATTAGTATAATATAATATAATTAAAATATCTTCAGGAGAATACGAGTAATGCCGCCATGCATCTATATGATTGCGGTACAAAGGGGGGGAGCTCTTAATTTCACTTTTGATGCATGCGGACCGACTCCGCCTCTCTCATGCATCTCATCATTAGTTCGTAATTGTTGCTAATTTTTTCTATTAACTTTCTAATTAACGTGCTTAATTATCATTAAAACAAGAATGATTAATTTTACTTTTTAAGTACTATATTAGATGCAAATACATTCTCTGCTACCATTTGATATCAAACTCTACGAATGCTAATTAAATTCTTAAAAAAAATAATATTTTCACAAATCAGTATAGTTAAAAAGGCTATACAAATAACTTTGTGGCAAAACATTTGTACATAATGTTTGAACAAAGGGTGTAAGCTGAGATCTACAAATGGAAGAGAAAAAAGGTTACAGAAAGGATGATCATGGAGATTCCAAGAACAAATTGACAATGAAATTCCAGTGCACTTCACAACAAATTTGCATGTCTTCTTCTTCCTTTATGCAAGTCACGTGATACACAGAAAAGATTAATGATGAATTTTGATTTTTCTTATATTTAAAAGTACTTTATAAAGAAAAGAAAGAAGACTTTATGCTGGATTGGTTGAATATTAGATGTAGATATTGTGGGGGAAGGTGAATTATCTGTAAAATTTTCAAAACATGAATGATGAGTCCGATGACAATGCTTATGATGGTGATGATGCTGTGTCCCTCTCCAGCTAATCTATCATGTGATGTTTCCCTTTCCCTTTTCTCTTTCTCTTTCTCTTTCTCTTTCTTCTCCTTTCTCTCTACCACCCAAAAAACTCCCATGGGTAAATGAAATCACAGACCATTAGGTTTAAAACCCATTTAACAAACGAAGTCATTCTTGTTTTGCCAGCCATCCTCTCCATCAGTCTTCCGAAAGAAAAAAGCTGCTAATTTATCTCCCTCTCAATCCAATAGTTTTGAATTTTTATTCTAAGAATTATATATAGATTAGTAAGTCATAACTTAAGTAAGATCAAGTAGTTTGCCATACTATTTTTATGGCATCTGATTCACAGAGGAAACCCAACAACCTGTCCACCACAGGGCAGTGCGAGCGCTCTGACTAAATGTTTTTAAGTCTGGTGTTTATTTAAACTTGTTATTTTTTTTTCTGTTAATAGTTGTCCTTCAATTTAAGCTCTACGTAATCTTTTCTAATAATAACACGAGTCTGGTAAAACTCGTGTCTAGTTACAAGCTGCAGACTTCTGATCTTCCTATTCTATTCGAACAAATATCTTAAATCTCACTAGGGTTAACTGGTTAGCTTCCCACACCCGAGTACGGTTTCCATAACAAGAGAGAAGAAGCATTTGCGTAACTGGCACAAAACTAAAAACAAATCCCACTAAGGATATGGGAGGCTTTATTTGTATCCAAAATTTAGTACAACGATTTCTAACACTAGAAGGTAGGCTTTATTATACCTATGGTATAGGATGTTACTACCGAAAGTTCAAGGAAGCATTTACCAGTTCATACAGACAAGTTAGTACCATAATTTTCTAATGAAAGACCTGTATATGGGAAGTTTTATTCTTAGATAAGACTATACCTTTTTGGAACTAGTGGTCTGAAGTGTACGGACTCCAACTGACATCCACCACTACCACCAAAAAAGAATAGTATGGAGAAAAGGGTGTCACAGGACGAATTACTTTTACTTGTGCCACACTGCATATCTGTGACCAGAGGTCGCCAGAGTCCATTCTCTGCCAGCGGGACACCATGACCCATCCCCAATTTTCATGGATACTTTATCTCCTATAATTGCAGCGTAGAGGTTTGCTTGGGCTTCCAAAATTCTAATGGATGATCGGCTGTGAATATCTTGGTGCTTCCGGATGTCCATCTACATAATATCTACAAGTTATAGAAGTCCAAGAGTTGTCCCTAAGAGACATATTCTAATGAATCAACATGGGGGAAACAGCATACCAGTTTAACAATTTGGTCATGGATAGAGTTACCCCAATCAAAGAAGTGATCGTAGAAAACAGTAGGTATCCCCGGATGTGTAAGTATGTATACATAACCCTACAAAAAAGACAGATCTATGTTAGAACCAAAAAAGTTCAAAAAGAAGGGTTAGCATAACTGGGACACCCCAGTCAACAGACAATAACTTTGGAGAAGTTATTTGAAGTTGATTTCATTTACGATTAGATTAGATTCTTAAATTAGTTTGGAATATTCCAAATCACACTCAGAAGTGGCACTGTGTTGGAAGTGGTGCTGTATCTTTGCAGAAGTTATAATGGAGTAAATTCCATCTATTCTTCTTAAATTGATTTGGAATTTTTCCCATCACACTGAAAAGTGGAGCTATTTGGGATTTGTCCTGTCTCTTTGCTGCATTGTGGGGCATAACCTCATATAAAATTAAAATCAAAAGATTCTCCAGCTTTGTGATTACACCCAAAGGAATAAGAAGAAAAAAAGAAATTTAGGCTAGAAGTTCATATACCTCCACAATATGATTTGATGGAAAAGGCCAGTGAGCCTGAAAAAGTGTCATTGGGTGAGAAGTCTGGTCATCCAGTTTGAAACACTTGATATCCAAAATCATTACACCGTAACAAGTATATGACTTGGTATTCCCACAGCAGTGAACCATGTTATACCTGAGTTGAGCCTGTATCATGGTTATCAATGAATGTCACGGCTCTTGAAGGCCACCATCCCATTACACCAGGTGGCTTTCCCTGGGGATCACGCAAACGCCAAAACTGCCCCTTGACAGCTTCCTGCAAAGTAGCTTATGAGATACATATTCCCAGAGATTAAAGTTCAATGGAAATGTGTAATTTCCTATGGTAGTAACATTAAGATTATACTAGAATAATGCCATAAGTTAAAATAAGTGCTGTGTACAAAATAAGTTTACGTGCCAAATCTTGGCAATTGCTAAACCTAAAGTGACACTACCCATAACGTGATTATCTTTTACTGGAGATGGTGATCATTGCCACATATATCGTGTGTATTTATTGGATATACCTGGAGAATTCCCTTAGTTGTAAAATCAAAGGCAGTTGAAAGCTGTCCAGTTGCATCGATCCAATTGACGATACGTTGTCTGTGGCTATCTGCAGACAGGATTTGCACCGACATGACAGCATCGTAAGAAAACTGATAAAAGTTCACTAGCTAAGGCAAGGAAATATATGCTCATTATTTGACTTCATGATCTGTACCAATGAGTAGCGAAAGGAAAAGGTGAAAGGTGATGGGTGGAAAGGAAGCACCATGGAGGTATATATGATTGCTCAATTAAGACCAAAGCGGATAAACGAAGAAGATCAACATATCAATAGCGCTCTGAATCGTTAACGCAAACAGAAGTGAAGGAGCTTTGAGACTGGACAACTAGCCTCTTAACGATATGTAAAAGGAAACCAAAATTTTCCAATTTCACAACAAATAGTCAAATACTAAAAATATATTTGAAGCAAAATTATGTCATCGTTCAATGAAGAAAAGTTATGTTTTTATTTTTATCCTGCTCAGATGAACGTTCCATTAACAGAAATTATTGCACTTTAAGTCTTGCCAATGTAATCTGACAAGGAAATGAACTCAAAGAGGTAACTGTACTATAAGGTAGCTATCCTTTTTAAGATGATAAAAAGAAAAGGAAATGAAGTACAGTACCTTGGTTGTAGTCCAAACCGTGACCATTATAACTACAAGAATCCCAATATTCTCCAACGGAAAATAATGGCTTTGCAGCTTCAATATATTCTTTCACGTACTTTGGCGAGTAACTAACAAAAGCCTTAAGAAATGTTAAATCTTGTGGTATCAACTACAAAAATTAAAAAAACATAGTTCCCCAAAGGTGGCAAATGTGATTACCCTCTCGCAAAATCAAAACGGAAATCTTGAAATCCAACATTATCATGTAGCCACTTCAGCCAGCCAACAATGTCCTTTCGAACAAATTGTTGGGTGTGATCAATATTTGGAACCCCATGGAAGTTGTCCCCTGTGCTCCGATTGCCCTGGAATCAAACACTTATTAGTTAAAAATATCCAACCTGACACTTCATATTTTAATCATTTTCGACATGCAAAAACTTATAGCCAAGTCGCGCAAAGAGATAAGCTCAATTCACTGCCATCTTTAATTTCGTCTAAAAAGTTACAGATATGCACATGCAGACATGCATGTAACTGGAACTTTTTGGCAGCATTGGTTGCTAACGAATTCCACATTTTCCACATTTACTCTGAATGGACCTTGGGAATACTGGGATTCAGTTTGTCCATGGAAATATAGAACTTATATAGGCTTAGAAAGCATGCCTCTTATTCATGGAGGCACCTAATTTGCTTCCAAGAGACACTACACAAAGAGATAACTCGCGTAAATCCTCCGCAATTTATTTGTCAGATTTATGAGTCGTCATACCATGGTGCAAGGAGCAAAGGAACACCAATGCTAAATTAAAGGTCAATCAGATCATGATTCTTACTTGCATCAAACAAGAAAGGGATCATGTGAGGGTGAAACCAACAGAAGTAAACAGTTAATACAGGCCGTTCCATTTTGCTTGTCAGTTTGGCAAGTATATCGTGTGTTCTTCAGATACACCGTTTAAACTTGGTACAAAAGGCCTGTTGCCCTAGATTAGTTTTTCTGCTCCTTACTGAACTATGGGTAGGGGAGAAAATTGGGGAGTTCTTCAACTTGCTTATCATGTAAGTGAATTATCCAAGAATAAAAAAGCATTGTGATCAAACCAATTCTATTCTTAAAAACTTTCTAAACTATTTAACTGTTAACATACAACAGATTTCCATTACTTAAAAGAAACATTATGAAGACGGCATAAAAAGGATGTGAAAATGGACTTTTAGGTAAAAAAAAGTCCTAACCAATCCACCAGTACAAGATGTAACAGCATGTTCATCCCATGATAATGGAATTCCATCATAACGATTATACATTCCGCCATGACCTCGAGTGGTTCCAACACGATGATTGATAAATATGTCAGCCATCGCTCGAACTTTGTAATGCTTCATTTTTTGAAGCAAAGCTTTTAAAAGCTGCTCAGAACCATATGATGAATTAAGGGAATAAAGATTCTGGGGAAGGTAACCTACAACAGAAGAAAACCCAGGAAAGTTACTCTAATTTCCCACAAAAAGATATGACCAGATACCATCTAGAACTTAGGGAATTTCTCCTTTTCCCTTCAGGGGAGAAGGAATGAGTCACTGGTGGCAACCATGCTGATGTAAATCCGGATTTTGCAATATCATACACTTTTCTTTCTAAGTTTCTCCACCAATTGTGCTTATGAGACTCCCAGTTAAAAGCCTGTTGACACAAATTTCTTGTCAGATCTAAATACCTCATAGTCCTAAGGCTCTGGAAGTGACTGTTAAATCTAATAGAATAACTGTATCTGACAATGCTTTTAATGGCTCACAGTTATTGATTCCCCAGAACATTAGATGCATCTCTAAAATCAAAGTTAGAAAACTATTCTGGTTTCCGATAGTTTGCTCCACATTATGTTGTATATTACTGTATTTTGTGGAGCAAAAGAAGCCTTTTTGACTGTACGTCCTCTGTAAAAACGAGCAAATAAACATTAATTACCTGAAAAAGGATTTCCCTTCCATTGCGTATTGTTGCATCTGAAATTCAAACCAAAAACACATTTAGAAGAGTGAACAGGAATATCCAGGCCTTATGTTCTCAAACTAAAGTCCATGATATCAAACATAATCCAGTGCATCTCATCTCAACACATGTTTTATTGTTTCATCAGTGATGCAAGCACAACTTAGAAAGACAGATCACCTAAGCCCTGATTTATTCATTCAAAAGTGATTACAAAATTCCCCAAAGAAAATGATTACAAATCAAGGTTATCCACTTTTTTCTGGCTTTTTTTTTTCTTGCTATCACTAACAATTTGATAAAAATATTAACTCCTTTTAGGCTCCCACAGGGTTCATCAGCAGTCAAGGGAAAATCTTGGGACGAAAAAGCATATCTGGACATCTTGGTTTTGATTTTTTTCCTGGGATAAAACTCGTAGTTAACATAGAGGAGGCATTGTGTGCTGGGACATCAGTCCTCAGGTTTACCATGTAAGGATTCATCCAACAATGCCATACTTGGTTGAGTGCCCAGTCGAAAAATATACTGACCACTTTTAAGCTCCATTCAACAACTATGTTCTCTATTGTTTAAAGGCAAATAATTCTTTGTTCACAGGTGCATTAACATAAGCAACCAAAGTTTGATCATTAAAAATTTTGTTTTGGGGTGGGTGTTGGCCAGAGGGAATTCATATGAGTGACAAGTCGAGGAACCTCAATACATTTGGAAAACCTACTAAGGAAAAATAATTACGCATACCAATATCAATTTGTTGATTACTTCCATCAGAGCCCTGACCCTGCACTTGAACAAAATATGAGATCAGAGACATGCAACAAAGGTCCAGTTTGTTTCAAAAAAGAAAGTCGGTGAGTTCATCCTGGACAAAATGCAGATGGGTACAAAAATGAATAACTTGAAACAACATAACAGTAATGTATACCTTCAACGTTTTCTTGAAAAGGAAAGAACCTAAAGGATCAACTATTAATAAAGGGCGATAAAGCAGAGTTGAAGCAGAAAGGGACATACATTTTGTTGATTACCCATATCAACTCAAGTAGCAGAGACCCAAGCTCTGACTCCCGATGGACCAATAACACAGTGAAATACCCTGCATCCACAATAGGCACCTAATATGAGGTTGGACTTCAAGTAACGTGGAAGCAAGAAAAGAGTTAAAAAGTTTCATTCCATATTATTATGCCATAACAATAACGATGATAATTATAAGAGAAGAAGATACTTCTGCAATAAGTCTCTCTTATAAACTCTCTCATAAGCACTTTTATTTTTTCTCCCTCAAACATTTCAGTTTCGAAAGATAAACCAAACAAACACATTATCTACCTAACCACAACGCATTATAGATTACTCCTGAATGAATTGCTATAAATTATAGAATGTTGAACTACCAATTAAAAAAAAAGGCATTAGATAAGGATGTTCAAGAACAGAAACCAATTATGAAATTTCAACAAACAACACGAACCTAAAGAATCTACAACTTAACATGGCATAATTTTGCACAAATAATAGAAATGAAATGAAAGAAATCATAGAAGAAAACCCTAGAAAAAAAAAAACAACGTTATGGAGGGAAAGCAAATACCAAAGCTGGTATCGATCGCAACATGAGCTCAGGTTTCTCGCCTTTGGCCTATAAATAAAAAGAAAAAGCTCAAAAATTCTATTGAGCTCCAGCTAGCACCACCGAATTGGAATCACGCAGTTTGTTCCATACCGTAAAAAATGTTCACCAAAAAGTGACCAGGGAATATTGATTTTCTGCCATAACAAAAGAATTTCTGTTTGCAACGACAAAGAGCAGGGAGTGGGGAATTGATAGAAAGGGAATCGGCTTTTCTAATTGGTAGAAAGTTCATACTTCCTTATTTTTAACGGCTAACAGCGGGACAGTGAGTAGCT